CCTGGTCCTGCCGCCTGATGTCCCTAACTAGTGTCAAGCTCCCGGTCCTGACGTGTTTACCAAGTGTAAACCTCCTGACTAAATGGATACGCTCCCGTTTGCACCATCGTTGGCTTGTTCCTAGAATTTCCCTAAATGTTTTAATATTCCCCGTTTGAAAGCTGCATTACAGCTCTCGCCATCGACAGAGGCTAGTTTAAAGAAATAACTTCTGAATGAGTTGTTTATCGCATATAGGGTTTTGTGCCAGTAACTCTCATTTCACTTTGATTATTAGATATAAGATAAGAAAAATGATAAGCATAATTTGATATAACATCTTAAAATGATATAACTTGAACCTCCTATCAGTATCTAACTACGGATAGAAGGTTCAGGAACCGAAAGATATAAGGTATATTACGAACATGTCCGATTGACAATGATGCAGAAAATCCGGGCCCGGTCACTCGCGGGGCAGTGCTCTGAAGTGTAACAATATGGGTTGGTTGGTTCCTGCCACTCGCGCCAGCCACTGCCGGAATGCTCATTGAAAGCCATTCCGCTGAAAATTATGGAAACATAGAATGCCCAAAGATTAGACCAAGGCAGTAAATACACTTGTAACATATAATGTTGCACTTTGCAACATTCACCAAACCTGTCCATGCCTTATCAAACTACAAGGGTTCCAACTTATATACATTCACCTCAGGCTTATCTCGACCAGCGCAGTGACAGCGCAGTGACTTGTGCAGATTCAACATTCCCCGCGTTCAAAATGGATGATACAAAAAGCTACTTAAAATTTTGCGTCGCTGCACTCCGGTGTTTTTGGGGGTCTTTTTTGCTAAACCCCGGAAGCATGAGGAGGAAAGATTTCCGGACCCCCGGTCGCCCTCGTCGTATTTGGGGCTTTCCGCCGCAGCGAGCTGCTGGACCACCTGGTACGCGTATCCAGCGAATGCATATACTGGTGCAACCGCGGGTACCTCCAACCGCTGTAACCGGTAGCAGCGTTCTTGCAGAATGGCGGCAGTGGTGAATACAGCAGTGTTGGCTGTCGCGTTGACTCCGGCGGCGGCCGTGACGGCGGGGGCGGCAGCAGCGCCGGCGCCGGCCGTGATGGTGCTGGGCTCGAGAGCCGTGACCACGCGCGCGCGGCCGCCCCGCCGGTGCTGCCTGCGAGGCGCCGACAGCGCTCGTGACTCTGGCCGTGGAGACCGCAGCCGAGCCGAGCAGGGGCATCGTTACGTGTAAAAGGTGGCCTGCAGCGGAGCAGCAGTCAGGCCTGGCTGCGCTGTGTCCGGATGTCGGTAGCCCTCTGATCCGGCCCACCACGTGACCGGAACTGGCATGGGAAAGTGGGTGGAGCGTTCTTCCTGACATGGCGGGTGTGGAGTCCGGTGTGGGAGGTGCATCAACTGCCATCTCAAGCTTTCCGGAAATGGACCTAGTTTCTAGTTTTCCCCGCAGTGAAACGAATATCTTTCCGTGTGTAGCATGGTGAAATCAGATAAACGTCTGGAGGAAAATTACCCTACTTTCAGCATTTTAACGCTGAAAGACTTAGTGCCAGCGTCTTTGCCACGGCAACTCTCCTTATCATTCTTCACTTATTCCTGATACGTGTACTTGTCGAGAGGAACCAGTGCAGTCGCGAGAGAGGGGCCTCGCGTTGTACAGTGCTTTCCAGCCAGAACGGACGTAGTAGAAGCGCGGGTAGCGTGTGAATATGTGGCAGTTGGAATAGGCGCTGTGCTTGTGTTATGCGGGTGCCGATTGTGAGGTACTCGCTGCGTTGTAAAGTGGTTGCTGTTGGTGTTTTGAAAGTGGGCTGTGTGAGCCTGGCAGCTACCCGCGCACAAAATATGAGAAGCTGTTGTTTGCGCCCGTGTATGAGTGGTGGCATGTGTGCATCCGCCAGCAGGCTGGACACCGGGGAGGTACGGAGGGCGCCAGTGACCACGCGGAAAGCGGCGTTCTGGATCGTTTCCATGGTGCTAATTTTGCCCGAAGAAATACCATCAAAATAAAGGCATTGAAATCCAAGATCGGTCGAATCAAGGCGGTATACAGACGGAGCAGGGTACGCCTATCGGCTTCCCACTCTCGTCCGGTAAGCATTTTAAAATATCAAGTCGTCGGGTGCAGCGCTGTTTAGGTCGTCAAAATGGGATGACAAAAGTCGCCGACCCAGGGTGATCCCGAGGTACTTGAATTGGGTGACATGTGCGATGAGTTGACCACACAGGCTCAAAGGGGCCGAGGCGCAACAATTGTGTGCTGCCTAGAAAAAATCAGTGCTTCTGATTTTGGCGGTGGAATTTCAAAACCACACTGGTCACACCATTGGTGGATGTGATCTAGGGGAAGTTGTACACAGCCATTTGCTCGATCGACACTGCGGTGGGTAAGCCGCACCGCCGGGTCGTCGGCGAAAAGGGAATGGTTCAGATTCAGAAATTTGATGCAAATCATTAAACACGTCGTTGTCATAATCAAAAAGAGCGTTGGCGAGACCCCACTGCCTTGGGGTAGCCTGTGATCCTGTTTCGCAAGTGCTGACAGCGTGTTCCCGCAGCGAACGGCAAAGGCTCGATCTGCTGAGAAATTTTGCAAAAATTTGACGAGTAGGCCACGTACTCCTATCCTGGGCGGTTTAATTAGAAGGGCAGTCTTATTTACTTTATCAAATGCGCCTTTGATATCCAAAAAAGTGCAACCGTAACCATTTTTTGTTGGGAACCACGTTGAACTGAATCAACAAGTTGGACGAGGCTGTCTGCCGTGGAACGGCCAGGACGGGTGCCAGTTTGGTAAGGGCAGATACGATTGTGGGGCTCTAAGTGGACCTTGATTCGAGCGGTGACCATTGCTTTAAATAATTTCTATGCACAGCTTGACAGGGAGATAGGGCGATAGCTCGAAGGGTCAGACGAGACTTCCGAGGTTTTAGTATCGGGATAAGAGTACTAGAGCGCCAAGTATCAGGGACATTTCATTAATCTATCGCTAAAGGCAGAGAAAAGATTTAGCAGTCCAGACCCAGACAGATTTCTGAAAAAAGCGTAAGCGATCTGGTCTGGACCGACCGAGTGTTGCCGCACTTGCTGAGAGCCATCCTCAGTTGTACGCCGTGAAGAGTACGTTGTAGTGTTCGGTGTTGTCAGTAGTAAAGTCGAGCGCATGGAGTGTGATGTTGAGCGAATTCGCGAGCTGTTGGAGTATTGATCGGACGATGAAATGCGGGCGTAGTGTGTTGTAGAATGCGTGGCGACTCAAATGGCACCTCATAGTGCTGGCTGTTGACTATGAGGTGTGGGATTTTGTGGTGGGATGATGTGCGTCTATTGGTGAAGCTCTGCATTAGCGACCATGTTTTTGACAGGGGGTTGAATCGCTTCAACGTGGTAGCGAAATTTTCCCAGCTTTCCTTTTCTGCTTGTTTTATTAATTACGTTAGCTTGATGTCGAGCTCTAAGAGCTTCTTCCTCGTGGGCTGTGCAAATATAATTGCGAAAAGCCCGCATGGCCCGGCGTCGCGGGGCCACTGCGCGCTGACACTCATCGTCTCGTCTACCAGGGTGCTTCTTGTCCCCGGGTCGACGATGGGTGTGTGGAACAGAATGGTGTGCTGAGGCCAAAGACTATTCAAAAATTTGATAAGATTAGGGGTCGATTCGGGGCGGTGAGCGTCGTCTATATAGTTTTGAAATGTGGTCCAGTTCGCTTTGGCATGTTTTCATCAAGGGAGGAAATGGAAATCCACCTGTCCTGAGGGGACTTCAAATTCAAAGCGAATTGGATAGTGGTCACTGAACAACGGATCCGTTCGTACGTTGTGTGTGAAGCGTGGCGCGATGCGTGGTGTTGAGAGAGCCGGATCAATCACAGAGAAACTGACGGCTGCCCTTCAGTGTTGTATGTGTAGGTGTTTGATTGCTAAGGTATACGAGGTTGTTATATGCAGTAGTGTGTGGCGCATGGTGCCGCGTGTATGTGTTGATTGGCACCCCCACGCTCGGTGGTGGGCGCTAGAATCGCCCAAGATTAGGTAAGCGGAAGGGATTTGAGAGAAGATGTCGGAGAGCTGGGCGGAAGTGAGCGGGTTAGTTGGGAATAGATAAAGAGGGACGACAGTGAGGTCAAGTTATGCGATTTTTACGTTAACTGCTGTAAGATTAGATTAGTATTAAAGTGCACTCGATGGTACAGCGCATGATTGGATACATACAGTACCGTGCCCCCACGGCGAGCTGTGTCCATTTACGTTATCGGTATAGAGGCTGCCATTTCTAATATTAAAGTTATATTTAAGTTATAATGAAATCAGAGTCATCAAAAAGGGCTCTTGAACAGCGGCAATCAATGGTTTATGTCTGATGATATCTTCTTTGAGTTCGTTCCCAATGGGATAATAGGGATCTGGTATTTCATTGGAGTACGAAGTTATGAAATGCGGAGGTAATTTAAGCAGGGGCGAGGCCGTCTTGCTGCTCGTGCTGCGAGGTGGGAGTGCGTTTTAACAGTCCCGTGTGGGTCCGTCTGGAGGGAGCGGGGAGAGGGAGGGCTGCCTTAATAGTCGGCAGGGTGGTGCTCCTCTCTCAGGACGGGGAGTCGTCCGGCTGGACCCTG